TGTATGTGTTCTAATAAGTTACGTTTGGTGACAATTAGGTATGTTGCAACTTGTGTGACTTCAGTTTATGAGATGGAGAATCGTTTCAATATTTGGTCCTTCAATGGCAAGCTACTTTATCGGATATCGAAGGATCATTTGTCTCAGGTTATTGCAATCTTCCTTGTTTTTAAACAATAGGCCGTGTTTGAAATTGATTTTATTTTTATTTTTTTTTAGAAAAAAATAAAAACAGGAGAGAAATAGCGTTTGTCACAATTAAAGACAAAAAACGGAAATGAAAACGATTTTTTAGTTTAGTGTAAAATGGGGGAGAAATGAAAAATGAATTTAGTCGTTTTTCATTTTTTGTTTCCGTTTTTTTCTCTCCCGAGCACAGAGAGAGACATTAATAGATTTTCTTATACTGAAAACAATCTTATGATAAAACTACTAAACGCATTTTCAAAAATGATTTCTGTCTGAAATTAAAAATATTTTCATTTCTATTTTTATACAAAAAATAAAATCATTTTGAAACGAATTCCAAACGGACCTCATCTGCTTTCAATAAATTACCTGCTTATACGAAGAGGCTCATAGTATTCTTTAACGAATAGAACCGTCAGATTTTTTTTTTTTTTTGGGATTATTTTTATTGTCTGCTATTGTCTCCTATTTATGAAAGTATAGTTGGAGTCGATCACACTAGATGGTAGATAATTGCTTGTAATCTAGTACATCATCTAGTGGTCTTTTGCTAAAAAAGCTTCTACTATAACTGGCACTCTTTCACTAGGTAATTGGTTTTTATGCATTCCCAAGTGCGGGACTTAATTATTGTTTCCATTTCTCTCTTTTTCAGTTTTTGTGGCGGCCAAAGAGGAGTGTGAGGCTATGGACGTTGTTGTGGAGCAGATTGTGGCCAAAGAGGAGGAGATTCTTGCCTTTGAGTATGATTTGGATCAGGAATGAAATATAGATATCCGTAGAAATATTGATACTCTAGATTTAAAGAAATTTTAGAAAAATAATTGATATCGATAGAAGTACGGACAAAAAATTATGAAAAGTATGGATCTTTATTTTACAACTTTTTAATTTAATTTCGGGCCAGAATTTCTTTGCCCTTTTTTTCCCCTTATCGTTGTGAGGAGTTAATTTTTGTTGTCCGTTGATTCTAAAATGTTGGATTAAAGAAAATGGGGAGGCTTCTTAAAAATAAATATTAATTTACTTCTTTTTGTTTGGGACTTGGAATGTCCTTATTATTTTATTAAGTGTACTCGTGGATTGATCTTTGCGGATTGTTTATAAGTGTGCCCATATTTTAAAGACTTTAATATGCTTGGTTTATTAATTTATTGCCAATGACTTGTAGTTGTAGTCATATTTTCCTCCTAGGATCATCCTCTAATTGTTCTTAAATCACGATAAGAGGCGAAGAAAATAGATCTACCGAGCAAGTGGAATTTATGTTAATCATTAATCAAATTTAATGGACGTTTGGTTCATAGATTCAGAATTATTCTCGATTTACGTATATTTTTTGTGAGAAAAAATACTATAACGAACCACAAATCATGATTCAAATCATAATACGAATCTACCAACTAAACGCACTATTAATAAGCGACAACCAAACAAATTTACTATTTATAAAAGAGGTAGAACCTAACGCGCAATGACCTTGAAAAAAACTTGTTCAAGCAAATATGTGTGAATAGAAGGTAGAAAATAGTTCCTTCAAAAAAAAGGTAGAAAATAATTAGTCCTATTTTTTTTTTTATTTGTTATCCTTAATTTAAACGCAATTAAATGCAAAACAATAAATTTTTAATGGCACAATCCTATTCCTACCTATGAGGTTGGTGATTAGTAATATTTTATGTGTGTGTGTGTGTTGTAAAAAATAGAAACTATAATTTTCTTGTTTGTAATATTGTATTTTATGGATTTTTTGAATTGGTATTATGCATGAATATGAATTATTGATAAAGAAATTAGCCACTTATAAAAAGTTGAGTAACAACAAAGAAAACATATAAATCATATCTCTTCATTCTAGCCAAGATGTGTATGTTACTTGCGCAAAACATTAAATCATAATAATAAAAGCGTGTTATTCCTTGTAACTCCTTAAATTTAACTATATATGGATAGCTAGCATTTACGTAATTCGAATCAAATTATTACTACTGGAAATTCTTAACGAGTTAATTAGAGAAAAAATATAAACTGTAAAATAATCATAAATTAAAACTGTTGCTAACTTTCCAATGCCATAAAGACGAGACAATTTACAACGATATATATGACTGTGAAATGTAACTAAAAAGATACCAAAGAAAACTGAGTAAATTCCTCTCCTCAATATTCCAATGGCCTTTTGCAATTGCTTCAGCATCTTAGCATTCTTGGCTGCCTTTACATTTTTCGACATTGATGCTAGCTTCGCAGCTCGTCGCCTTCTGCAAACAACTCAGCCCAACTTGCCGCCGATGCCAACTTTTCCGCCGGTGCAATTGCCCTCCATACCATCTTTGGCGCCACAAAATAACTTTTTGCCTCTGCCCGCCAACCCGCCTTTAGTACAGCCCACAATCCCAACTTTCTCAAGAGTGGCATTGCCTCCTCTTTCAGCAATGTCGGTTGTGTTTGAAATTGTTTTTGTTTTTATTTTTTATGTTTTTTAGGGGAAAAAAAAAAAATAGGAGAGAAACGGCGTTTGACACAATTAAAGACAAAAAAAAAGAAATAAAAACGATTTTTTAGTTTACTGTAAAATGAGAGAGAAGTGAAAAACGACTTTTAGTCGTTTTTTTTATTTTTTGTTTCTGTTTTCTCCTCTCTCTCTCGAGTAGAGAAAGAGAGAGAAACATTAATGGATTTTTTACACTGAAAATAATCTCCTGATAAAACTACCAAACGCATTTTTAAAAATGATTTCTCTCTGAGATTGAAAACGCTTTCATTTCTATTTTCATACAAAAATTAAAATCATTTTAGAACGAGTTTCAAACGCACCCGTCATTTTTTGAAATCTCTAAAATTCCAGGGATTCGGAAAATAATGCATGTCCTCCCCTTTCTCTTCACGTCACCTTCCTATTAATGCCTCGTTCATTTCACCGATTCGAGTTTTCAGTTTTAGATTTTTACAGTAAAAAGCTCTCAGAAAATGTCACATCTAACTTTTTATGCTATAGTGAAAAGCTTTCAGAAAATATTATATTTAAACTCGAATTGAAAACTCGAATCCGCAAAGTAAATGAGGCCAAAGTAATCTGAATGCATGTATCTTGTTGGCCGTTAATAACTCGGTTAGGCTTGTCAATTGGATTGTACGCAAGTCACACCGTTTGCGTTTCCATTTTAATTAAGACGATTGTAAATAATTTTTTCATATAATACTATATTTTCATGCAAATTGGAAGTTTCTGTCTACCTAATTTCATCTGGTTTTATATGCAAATTGCAATGGTATTTTTTTTTTGGTTTGGTTTTCTTCATATTTTACGTACTTCAGCTTTTTTTCCCTTCTCCAATTCTGTCTAGATGATATTTTCGCTAATTGGACATACTTTTTTTTTTTTTTTTTTGGCGGAACACTGGTACCCACCCATCAAATTTGACAATTTTTTTAGAATTTATTAAATGTTAAAACAAAAACAAGTTTGATTATTCTAAAACGTTTAACAAAAGTAAATTCGGGACAATTAAATAAAAAACAATTAAAAAGGAAAAATTCAACCTTTCATATTTTAGAAAAAGACTTCAAAGCATAAAAAATTAATTTTTTAAAATCGTTGAGGTATTAATTTAAAATTATTAAACATACGAGATACTGATTTAGTTTGGTATTGCTTTTTCCTTCTAAAATCAGCTTCTGCTTGTAGCATAAGTTGATTTTAGTGTTTGGTAAATCTCCTCAAAGTGTTTTTTGAAGAATTTTTTAAGAATCTATAGCCAAAATCAGAAACAGCCTAAAGAGTTTTTAGATTGTGCAAGAATTAACATAGTACAATTAATAAAACTTTCATAATACCCATAATACCTCTAATGAAATTTAAAATTTACAATCTTTCCAATCTAAAATTCAGACTCCTAATATAATATAATATATTGTAATAAATAATATCATAATTATATTAATAACTCTAATATTATTATTTTATCATATAATATGATATTTTAATAATATTATAATTATTTTAATAATATGATATTATAATTATAATTATTATATATTATATTGTATTAATATAATTATATTTATTATATTAATAATAATTTTATAAT